AGACTAATCGGCCTAGCTATGGATCTTTTCACGAAGCTTAGCAACATCATTATAAACTTAATTCAGAACCCTATACCAAAATTCGTGCAAATTGGAAAATATATAGGGACTTTGGTGCACCAAATACATAAAATCGGACGAAAATATATATGAAAGCTATATCTAAATCTGAACCGATTTTCACGAAACTTTGCACACGTCATTCTAGACTTAATTCAATACGTTATGACAAATTTCACGCAAATCGAATGATTTTCAGAGACTTTAGTGCACCAATTACCTAAATTCCGATGAAAATATATATGGGAGCTATATCTAAATCGGAACTGATTTTCACGAAACTTTGCACACATCATTCTAGACTTAATTCAGTACGCTATGTCAAAATTTGTGTAATTGAAAATATTTGGTGCACCATTTACATAAAATCGGTCGAAACTATATATTGGAGTTATATCTAAATCTGAACCGATTTTCATGAAACTTAGCACACATTATTATAAACGCAATTTAGTACGCTATGCCAAATTTCGTGCAAATCGAAAGATATATAGGTACTTCGGTCCACTATTTACCTTAAATCGGGCGAAAATATATATGCGAGCTATATATAAATCTTAACCGATTTTTCCCAATTTCAATAGGGTTCGTCCTTGGGTCACACAATATATATATATATATATATACGTCTATATTTCTCATCAGTTCCACCAGGGATTAATATTTTTATAGATTCCTTTTTCTTCAAAAAAAATCATTTTCTTCTTTTTTATTTAAATTGTCGACTGCTGTTATTTGAGACTCCTTAATTTGTTGTTATATTTTATGGCTTTATTGTCATGTCAATGCATGTCGTTCATTCGATAAATTTTCATATTTACCGCCATGAAAGATATTAATTTTCACATTCTTATTTAATGTCATGTGGTTTTCATCAGGAATCTTCTTTTCGTCATCTCCATGTCATATCGTTGGCATAAATTCATACACATATCCTTAAAGAGGTTTTAATCCACCACAAGAGATTCCTTTTCTGTTTTCGTTTTAAATAAACTACAGTGAATTATAGTTGCCCAGGAGACGAAGAAATTGGAATCTCAATACAGAATATAAAACCATTTGACAGAATGGGTGCAATTACTGTCATTCAGTATAAATATAATAAATAATAAGCATTAAAATAAATATCAAAAACATATATTTTTACATAATTAGGCGTATAAGTATGGTCACTGCTTTAATAAAACATACGCCCCAATGATCAGAATTAAGATTATAGAAACTATCAGTCATACGCCCCACTGTCCTCAGTAACATTTATTTTAAAATAAATAATAAAACTCATACGCCTTAGCGTTTCTGTAATGGCTACACGCACACATTGCATAACTTGTTTTCATTTTCCTGCTATAAACTATTTATATTCTATACGTTTGACAACAAATTCACTTCAGATCACGCACACACAATGTCCATATCAATTGAAACCCAGTGACATTTAGTTTCACGCTAAAAATGTCATCATCCAAGAGGCTACGTACATCTACCATGATACACACATATATATACCAACACACTCACATATTGCCCCTATTGGAATGTTACCAAGAGTCAAGTAACTCAGCATTGCCACAATGCACCTCACAGCTGTCTATCAAAACAAATAAAAAATTGGCGCACGACCGACCCCACTACAGGCACACACAGGGTGCGGATATTCATATATTCTTATATGAAGAGAACAAAACCAAAAGGTAGAACGTGCATCATCATGCCGACGACCAAATGAATGAATGGACTCAATCTCCAGGTGTGATTAAGTTAGTATGTAATTTACATACATTTATTAAGTTTCCTATTTTTTTTATTCAGGGCCATAGGCCTGAAGTGCCTACTGCTATCCATCTTCAGCAGTGGAGATGACGTAAAGCATAAAATCTCTCAATTTATATACATGAGCACGATCTTTGTGTTGAAAAATGATATGCCAAGATGTGACAGTGGTGCAAAAGAAAAAAATCAACAAACTATTTTCTTGAAGGCTTTTAGGAGGCATTCTTTTTAAAAGAATATTTTTCCAGGAAGCCTAAAGGCGTCGATTTTTTAAAGAATATTTTGCAAGGACCAATCACACAAGGAATTGATTTTTTTTAAAAATATTTTTCAGGGGCCAACCACACATGGCGTGGATTTTTTTAAGAATATTTTTCATGGAACAACCACAGAAGGAGTAGATTTTTTTAAAAATATTTTTCAGGGACCAACCACACATGGCGTAGATTTTTTAAGAATATTTTTCAAGGAACAACCACACAAGTAGTAGATTTTTTTAAGAATATTTTTCAAGGACCAACCACACAAGGCGTGGATTTTTTTAAGAATATTTTTCAAGGGCCAACAACACAAGGCGTATATTTTTCAAGGACCAACCACACAAGGCGTATATTTTTCAAGGACCAACCACACAAGGTGTGGATATTTTAAAGAATATTATTCAAGGACTCATTACAAGGCGTGGATTTTTGAAAGAATATTTTTTCAAGGACTCATACAAGGCGTGGATTTTTCAAAGACTTTTTTCAAGCACTCATACAAGGCGTGGATTTTTGAAAGAATATTTTTTCAGAGACTCATACAAGGCGTGGATTTTGAAAGAAGTTTTTTTCAAGGAGTCATACAAGTCGTAGATTTTTGAAAGAAGTTTTTTTCAAGGACTCATACATGGCGTGCATTTTTGAAAGAATATTTTTTCAAGGACTCATACAAGGCGTGGATTTTTGAAAGAATATTTTTTTAAAAGACTCATACAGGGCGTGGATTTTTGAAAAAAAAATTTCAATGACTCATACAAGGCGTGGATTTTTGAAAGAATTTTTTTTCAAGGACTCATACAAGGCTTGAATTTTTGAAAGACTTTTTTTTCAAGGACTCATACAAGGCGTGGATTTTTGAAAGAATTTTTTTTCAAGGACTCATACAAGGCGTGGATGTTTGAAAGATTTTTTCGTTTCAAGGACTCATACAAGGCGTGGATTTTTGAAGGAATTTTTTTTCAAGGACTCATACAAGGCGTGGATTTTTGAAAGATTTTTTTTTCAAGGACTCATACAAGGCATGGATTTTTGAAATAATTTTTTTTTCAAGGACTCATACAAGGCGTGGATTTTTGAAAGAATTTTTTTTTTCAAGGACTCATACAAGGCGTGGATTTTTGAAAGAATTTTTTTTCAAGGACTCATAGAAGGCGTGGATTTTTGAAAGAATTTTTTTTTTCAAGGACTCATACAAGGCGTGGATTTTTGAAAGAATTTTTTTCAAGGACTCATACAAGGCGTGGATTTTTGAAAGAATTTTTTTTTCAAGGACTCATACAAGGCGTGGATTTTTGAAAGAATTTTTTTTCAAGGACTCATACAAGGCGTGGATTTTTGAAAGAATTTTTTTTTCAAGGACTCATACAAGGCGTGGATTTTTGAAAGAATTTTTTTTCAAGGACTCATACAAGGCGTGGATTTTTGAAAGAAGTTTTTTTCAAGGACTCATACAAGGCGTGGATTTTTGAAAGAATTTTTTTTCAAGGATTTTTGAAAGAATTTTTTTTCAAGGACTCATACAAGGCGTGGATTTTTGAAAGAATTTTTTTTTTCAAGGACAAGGCGTGGATTTTTGAAAGAATTTTTTTTTCAAGGACAAGGCGTGGATTTTTGAAAGAATTTTTTTTTCAAGGACTCATACAAGGCGTGGATTTTTGAAAGAATTTTTTTTCAAGGACTCATACAAGGCGTGGATTTTTGAAAGATTTTTTTTTTCAAGGACTCATACAAGGCGTGGATTTTTGAAAGAATTTTTTTTCAAGGACTCATACAAGGCGTGGATTTTTGAAAGAATTTTTTTTTCAAGGACTCATACAAGGCGTGGATTTTTGAAAGAATTTTTTTTTTCAAGGATTTTTGAAAGAATTTTTTTTCAAGGACTCATACAAGGCGTGGATTTTTGAAAGAATTTTTTTTTTCAAGGATTTTTGAAAGAATTTTTTTTTCAAGGACTCATACAAGGCGTGGATTTTTGAAAGAATTTTTTTTTCAAGGACAAGGCGTGGATTTTTGAAAGAATTTTTTTTTCAAGGACAAGGCGTGGATTTTTGAAAGAATTTTTTTTTCAAGGACTCATACAAGGCGTGGATTTTTGAAAGAATTTTTTTTCAAGTCATACCAGGCGTATAGAAAAAAAATTCGTCAGGACCTCTTGTCCTAGTTTTTTCTATAGAAAAAAATTCATCAGGATCTCCGGTCCAAGTTTTTTCTATAGAAAAAAATTATTCAGGACCTCTGGTCTAAGTTTTTTCTATAGAACAAAATTCGTGAGACCTCTGGTCAATGTTTTTACTACAGAAAACAATTTCGGGAGCATCTGGTCGATGCTTTTTCAATTTTTCAATTTTTTCAGTAGAAAGAAATCGTCAAGCCGTCTGGTCCCTTTTTTTCTTTTAAAAAATCCTCTGTACTTCCGGTCCGTTTTTATATAGGTTGTGAGCCAAGTTGTAGATCTATTTCTCCAACCCAGCAGCCCACTGTTTTGTTTTCCCAAGTTTTCAAAAAGACTTCAACAATAACAAAGACACATACACACATTGTATAGAGGATATAAAATACAAAGATATTTCCCCGATACGCGGATACACTATAACGTTACCTGGTATCGTATATGGCGAAGGATGTGGTGATGGCAGCCAATATGCGGAATTTATTGACGGATATGGCTTAAACGACGACAACAACGCAGTGGATGATGGAGTCGATGATGTTGCCGTTGCAGATGTTGATGCCGATGCGGAGGCTGATGCTGACGGCGTTAAAGATGATGAGTTAAATAACGATGAAGCGATAGCTTTGGCAGTGGCAGCTGCATCTACGGCTGTGGTTGAGGCATATGGATGCAAAGCCAATGAATACTTGGTTGTGATACAGGAATTGTTGTTATTGTTGCTACCGCTGTACTTGTTGTTGTTATCGTTGTTGTTGATGATGTTTGAGGAAATTGAGGCTAGACTGTGGCTGGTGGAATGAGAAAGGTTGCCGTTGTTGGTGTTGTTGTTGTTGTGGGCTGTTATTGCATCACGGACACCACCTGCTGTTAGCGAAGCAATATCAACAGCAGTACCAAGACTAACACTGACATTGCTACTGCCACCACTACCACTACCATCACCGGGGCCGCTAAAGTTGATACTGCAACAGTTATTATTGGATAAATTCTCAATTACCGTCGGTAATTGCCTGTTTCTGTTGGATATATCGGTCGCAGTATTTATGTTGCAGCTGCTGCCGCTACTATTGTTATTGTGGTGGTTGTTGCAGCCATTTGCATAATTTGCCAGTGCAGTTGAAGTCAACATGGAGTTGGATAACGATGACGACGACAGTGACAATGACGAGCATGATGGAGTCGTCAATGACGTTGATAACGTTAATACCGGCAATGTTGCAGTTGACATGGACGAAGTGTTTGAAGTTACATTCATCACATTTGAATTCAACATCATGCCCCGAAAATGAAACGCCCCAGGATTTTTTTTCGGATGGACGCCAAAAAAATGAAGACAAAATCAGCAAAATATATAGTGAAGAAGAGTGCTCTGAACTGAATTAAGGTGTTTGGCCGTATGTGGATTGGGTTATACAAACAGACGAAATTACCAAGTAAACAATTCTTTGACTACTACTCGTATTAATCACCTCCGAATTTTTTGGTTTTTCTTTTTTATTCACAAAATAATTTGTAATACACGCAGAAAATCTTTACATAATTTTTGGAAAGACAAAATTTCGACATACGTAAAAAAGAGAGAGCAAGAAACTATTTTTCTGAGATGGTAGTGTTTTAGGTGTTGTGTAGCGGTAATGATGCCATGTATAAAATGTGTTATCAATATTTACGATAGAACTTTGCACATACATTGCTACTATTCCTTGTTAATGGTCCCATATAATATAATCGGCCCATTTTCGGCATTATTATGGTTTTGAAAAAATTTTCTAGCCGACGGAGCTGAAATTTAAAATTTTGGTTCCACTCCATTTTCGCACATTTTGGAGTTTTTATTTTCTAACCAAAATTCTTGTAACTCGGGTTCATTATTGCAGGTAATAGAAGTTCTGAACCACATTTGTTTAGCAAAGTGGATGTCATTGAAATCGTGTTTTTAGTCCCCATAGCAGGGAACAAGCAAAAATATTTTGAATTCCCCACGGTGTAGAAAATCATTCTCGACATATTCGGTATTCTGGGAGTTTTGGGCGCGATTTTAAATAAAAAAATTTTATATTTTGGATGATCATTGGTAGAAAAAAATTAAAGAAAACATTCCTACTAAAAATGATCGATATTGGCCCTCTTTTTAGGGGTTTACCCTCTTAGGGGATTTTTGGCGCGTTTTAAAACAAAATTGGTTACGTTTTTCGGCCGAATGTGCTTTAATTGAGAGTCAGGAAAAACTATTTTTATACCCTCCACCATAGCATGGAGGGTATATTAATTTTGTTTTTCCGTTTGTGACTCATCGAAATAATCATTTCCGATCCTATGAAGTATATATATTCTTGAACAGCGTAAAATTCTATGACGATATAGATGTCCGTCTGTCTGTTGTAATCACTCTAGCGTCTAAACGAATTGAGATAGATCGCCAGTATTTTGCATAGAGTCGTCTTTTGTCTACAGGCAGGTCATGTTCGAAGATGGGATTTATCGGTCCACGTTAAGGCATAGCTCCCATATAAGGATACCCCTCAATTTTCGGTATTTTGAGGTTCTTGAGCGCGTTTTTCTACTGAATTCGCTGAAATTTGTTATATTGAGTTTTTATTGGGTAGCAAATCTCTCCGCTGAAAATTATAAATATGGGTCCATATTTTCGGATAGCCCTCATATAAGATAGACCTCATATAGCCCCCAATTTTGCGGTATTTTGGGGGGTTTGATCGCATTTTTGACCGAATTCGCTGAAATTTGGTACTTTGAGTTCTTATTGGGTAGCGAATTTCTGTACTAAAAATCCCCATTAAAACTTGCAGAAGTTTGTATTTGGTGTACATAATGGTATACATAAATCGGTTTGTAGAATTATCGGTATATACCCAATTTTTGGTATGTTCCCTTCATTTTCATTGCATGTATCTGTCAGTATAACTATGGTGGAGGGTATCCAAAGTTCGGCTCGGCCGAACTTAAGGCCTTACTTGTTTATATTAATAGCTATCTGATTTATTCAGCGTTTTGAGTTTGGTTCTAAGACTCTGTTATAATCATTGCTCCTGCGGAGGATAGCGAAATAAAAAATTATAACGTAAGGTTCGATAATGAATTATAGCCGCATTTAGACCTTGACCCTTTGTGGAGGTGCCACAAGGGGTGGACCGATAGACCCCATCTTTGAATTTGAAATAAGTTTGGAAGCAATAATAAGATGGGCAAAGTTAGGATGAAATCTAAATGTTCTGAAACGGATTTGCTCCAAAGAAACATGGGGTCTAGAACCAATATTTCGATGAGGCACATTTTCACCGTTTTTAATTGTATACACCCTCATTAGCCATAAGGCTGAGGGTATAATTATCCATTAAAAATTTCTGAAATTTGTATTAAAGTTTACATTATGGATTACTCCACTTTTTGGTATGTTCCCTATATTTTCATTTCAAGTACCTATATGGTGGAGGGTATCCAAATTTCGGCCCGGCCGAACTTAACGCTTTTTCACTTTTTAATTATTAAACTCGCAAAGTATATAGGGCAAATATTGATTAAAAATTAAGCCCGTAATGGCTGGACATATTTTTCTCTAAGGACTAATTCCTGGCAAATTTTACTTTCCAAAAATTAAAATTACTATAACAGGAATACAAAAAACGGTATGCGGATCTTCCTATTTTCCAGCTTGGTTTGTGTATTCTAAAAAAATAATAATCCTAGGTCCGCATTGTCTTCAATATTGATATGTACTCTTTCCAACTACATTGGAATTTCGAAATGCGAATGCATCAATGATTGACAATCATACCGTTTTAGGACTTTTTTAAATCACAAAAAAAAAGGAAACATTTTGTCAATTTATTTTCTCCCGCTTCTTTAAGTTTTAAAATATATGTATGCAATATTACAAGTATTTAACATAATGTATGATCATTCGCCATCCATAATTGTAAAATAACGAAACCGCATAATATACTTCGTATTTCATATTAGGTATTCTCATTGAGCAGAAAAATTTACCGACCAAAAAGTTGTCAATATTTCCGGAAAGTCCACATATAATGTTGCCCCTCATTTTTCGGTATTTTAGTGGTGTTTGGGCACGTTTTCCGCTGTAATTTGGTACATGGGATTCTCAGGGGTAGAATATATTACGGTACCCCCAATAATCGGTTTTATATTTTGGATGAACATTGGCATAAAATCTTCCTACCGAAAGAAAATCTGTTTATTAAAAATGATCGATATTGGCCCCAATATTCGGTATTTTAGGGAGTTTTGGCACGTTTTTTAACTGAATTGGCTGAATATTTTTCCCGGATGTACTGTAAATTAAGTTCTCAGGAAAAAAAGTTTTTTTTTGCGAATATTTTCTATATAAGTTCAAGTTAGGTCCACATGGGTAGCCTCAGCTATTTTGGGGATTGGGCAAGTTTTTCAGCCGAATGTGCTGTAAATTGAGTTTCCAGGAAAAACAAGTTTTCTTGCGAACATTTTCTACATAAGTCCAAGTTAGGTCCACATTTCAGTTGTTTTTATTTAACTAACCGAATTTTCTCTCCAAAGGGGCAACAATTTGGTATATCGTATTCCTGATAAATAAAAACTTCATTCCAGAAATTATTCAAAACCAGCAAGGAAAGTGGTAAAGTCGGACTTGGCCGACTATATGATACCCTTCACCACTTTGGGTATATTGTACATATGTATCCTAACATATGTAGAATATATCTGAACCGATTTCAGGGATACTTGCCAGAGACTAATTTATATTACATCAGTACGTTGTGTAAATCGGCCTTGCTATGGATCTTTGAAACTTAGCAACATCATTCTAGACTTAATTCTGTACCCTATACCAAAATTCGTGCAAATGGAAAGATATATAGGGACTTTGGTGCACCAATTATATAAAATCGGACGAAAATATATACGGGAGCTATATCTAAATCTGAACCAATTTTCACAAAACTTAGCACACGTCATTCTAGCCTTAATTCAGTACGCTATGACAAATTTCGTGCAAATCGAATGATTTTCAGAGATTTTGGTGCACCAATTACCTTAAATCGGATGAAAATATATATGGGAGCTATATCTAAATCTGGACCGATATCCAGGAAACTTAACACACATCATTCTAGACATAATTCATTACGCTATGCCAAATTTTGTGCAAATCGAACGATACATAGGGACATTGGTACACCATTTACAAAAAATCGAACACTATACATGGGAGCTATATCTAAATCTGGACCGATTTTGCCCAATTTCAATAGGGTTCGTCCTTGGGCCGAATAAGTGACCTATGCCAAATTTCAACCAATTCGGATCATAAATGCGACATGTACTTTGTTCACAAAAATACATGGACAGAGTGACGGACGGACGGACATGCATAAATCGACTTAAAAAGTGATGCTAAGTATATTCTAAAAAGGAACCATGCGTCTATCTCGTTTCCTTTTGCCTGTTACAAACATATGTACAAAGACATAATACCCTGTAACATAGTGTGGTAAAAAGGGGAAAGTAAAATAGACTTCACACAAATGTTCCGTTTATTTTTCGGTATATTAAAGTTCCTACACCAGATTTCCAATCTGAGTGGATTTAATTTGAAACAATTTCGTTGGAGTTTTAAAAAAATTAATTGTTGCATTTTCTTAAAATTAAGTCTTACAAAATTGTCATACAATACTTATCGAACTTTCGCCTTTAGTTGTTTTTTTTTGTGTCAAAGATAAATTAGGACTCTTGGAGAAAGAACACTACTTACCTTATTGTCGATCAGTTTAGTATGTATTAACAATATATAGAGACTTATAATTTTTACACCCTACAACATGTGTTGACCAAGAATATAGAGTTTTATAATGTATGTACTAAAATATATATAGTATATCACTTAATTTGTTTTCGTTATTTGTCTCTCCCTAAATACGAAATTTATTAACTAAATAAATATATAATTACAAACAACATCGAACACGTCTAATAAAGGAAAGGTACAAGGTACGTTAATAGAAAATTTAAAATTTATTTAAATAATTTTATAACATTTATTTAAATAGGTTAAATATATGAAGATACCATTATAAGAAGTATATACCATACAGGGTGGAACCGAATATTAAATCCACTCAGGTTGGGAAATGCCGTCAATATAGCCAAAAGTGGTTCGGACTGTTACATGGTGACCATAACAATATATGGAGGATCTATGATATGATTTTATTAATTTCAAGAAATGGAATCAAATCACTACTTAGGTGTGAAAATGTG